TTGGTAGCTAGCTCCTCTGCAAGAATTGCATATCAACTTAAACAAGACTTGGATTCAAATTTCAAGATAAAGGATTTGCGAAATCCCAAATATTTCTTGGGCCTGGAGTTGATTGCTAGAATAGTGAAGGTCACATCAATTTGCTAAAGGAATTGCACATTAGACTTACTTGATGAATACGGGTTTCTTGGTTCTAAACTAGCACTAGCTCCAATTGATTACAGTTAAAAAATATCTAGATGCAGTGATGATCCCTTGATAAAAAACTCAACCAACTACAGATAATTGGCTGATTAGTCTATTACCAAACTAAATATTATGTTTATAGTGCTAGTCTTGTCTTAGTTTATAGATAAGCCATCCGTTGCTCATATGCAAGTTGCACATAAAGTTTTAAGGTATCTTAAGGGTACAACAAGCCAAGGTATACTATTATCTTCAAATGCAAGTATGACATTAAGAGCTTATTCTGATAATGACTAGGCCTGTTGTCAAGATAATAGAAAATCTATCACAAGCTTTGGCATATTTCTTGGTATTTCTCTTATAAGTTGGAAATCAAAGCAACAGATTGTTGTGGCAAAAAGCTCCATAAAGGCATAATACAAAGCAATGGCTTCCACCCGTTGTGAAAAGTTATGTGGTTTTTATATTTGTTTAAAGACTTTAGCATAAAAGATGCTAAAGCAATAGAGTTATTTTGACATAATCAGTCGGCTTTGCACTTATGTAAGAACCTAGTCTTCCACGAGAGGACAAAGCATACTGAATTAGATTGCCATTTCATAAAAGAAAAGGTATTGAATGGCACAATGGTTCCAGACTATGTTCCCACACAATTGTAACTTGCAAATATTTTTGACAAAAGCACTGCAACCAGCTCAACTCCATACGTTACTTGGCAAGATGAGTATTGAAAATATATATACATGATCATCTTGAGGGGATGTGTTGATATTTGTAACCATATGAGTTCCTTGTAATTATTGATTAGTTGTAGGGTTATTCTTGTAATTATTTTAATAATAGGGTTCTCTTTCAGTTTGTGTATAAACCTCATTACAATGTTTTTTCGCTAGATTTGTTTTTCTGCTCATTCAAAGAAGAGAATCAGCTTCTTTTTTCTCCATTCCATCATACCCAAAACTCAATCTCCATTAAGACTTTAACATAGTGCATAGTATACCTCTCATTATATATATATGTATAATTTTTCACGTATGCATGTATTTTTTCACGTTTAATTTTCATTTAATTGTTTTCAATTGTAAATTTCACGAATTTCTAAACTGAATTATTGAATTTTAAAGTCTAAATTTCTACTGAATTTATAATTTTAAAGAGTGTTGGCTGAAAACTTAAAAACAGGGATATATAATGTTATTGGAATAGCGACTTCAAATAAATATTCTAATAGACCATCAACAAATTATGCTTGCCGACCAAAAGAACAATTTTGTTCTGCCTCAATAAATGTCTTGAAATTAGCAGTAATTTTGAATTGAGTGCTGCGGTAAAGGAGCACATGTTCTTGGTTCGGCCCAGCGAACCCATCTTTGCTCACAAGCCCCTGGTTTGATGGACTCAAGTTGTGTAAATTGTCCACAAATTTTCCTCCCTTTATAGGCTGATATATGTGTATGCATGTCCACAAAATGGCCACACTAGTCGTGCTTGTTACGCCAAATTGTAGACGAATGCACATAATCTTATATTGTGACCAAGCGAAGGCTACATGTGAATGCATCGTGAGGAAGACAGAAAATTTAAGATCCGAATCCGACCAAATCTAGACAGATTCAGTCTAAATCTCGAACGAAAGAAGAAGAGGAAAATAGAAAATTGATGGACGTCATCAGTAAGAAAAGAGGTATCCAGAATATATAAAATCAACAAAGCTCCTCTCTGTCTACTCTCGCCCGATTACAGCATGTTTGTTTATGAAAACCAACGCATATCGCACGTCTGTTACGAATTTGCTATGCTAAAAGGACTTGTCAAAACCAACCAAAGGAAATTCAATAGCGTCTGTTCATAATGTTTGTATTTGCATGCCATCAAGTATGAGATTCTTTGGGGTGATTTGCTTGTTCCAATGCCACCTCGTTAGCATGTACCCAATAATATTTCTTAAAAGTGATTTTATTAGTACTAAATACTTATGCCAATCGAAGTCTATGCTGTTTGCAAACGGCTTCTTTTAACACATATTTACTCCTCCGTGCTGAACCATATTTGTACAATTCCATATCTATCCACCAGAACTCAATGGCATAGTTCACATGTATCTACACCACATATATTGATGAATGTTAATGAGTAATGATATTTTCTAACATGTTAGTCGGAGGCGGGCCACACTACCTGCGGAGAGTTCCATTCAAAACAAACGACGCAAGAAATGCTGACGTTTCCTATCGCACCCCTCCCGACTCGACCGATTTCGTCCTCTATCGGTCGATAACAAGTTGACTAATCAGCCGCCACCCAACAACGTGTTTGAATTCCCTTCGCATGAACTTTCTTCGCATAAACACTAAACTTGTTGTTGGTACTATAAAAGCAATTAGGGACATTCTTGGAAACATCATCTCGACATAAACACTAAACTTCTTGTTGGTGGTACTATAAAAAAGCAATTACGAACTTTCTTGGAAACATCATTTTCTCTCTCCTTATCGTTGGGCTTTCATTCATGCTGCAAATCTTTACGGTATGCTAAGCACTGATCAATTCTTTCCATAGTTACATAATTGTGTTTGTTTGCTGTGGTTACGTAATTTTCCTTGTTTGTTTCCTTTCAGTTTTTAGCTTCTCGTTGTTTATCAATAACAAAAATGTATAATTGGAACATATTCTGATGCTTTAAATACAATATCTTCTCCTTTTTGTACTGATTATAAAATACAGAAAGGACAGGTTGACTGACAGGTAGATTGCGAGAAGTCCATGGCCCCAAGACAAATGGCCATTAAGAAAAGTCTCGTGTCAATGAGGAAAAGGGTGAGGGTATATTCTTGGAAGGTATAGCCTTATCTTCATAACCTTTCTCTCAGTCTTTTCTGGCGAAGACTCGCTTTTACTCACCATTATTCAATCAATTCTTTCCTTACCAAAGTAACTAAGATCCAATCTCATGCCCAAATAGAAAAAAGTGAGGAGATCGAAAGCAGAGTTAGCTGAGATGAGAGAAGAAATGAAGCATAAGAATGAAGAGCTGGCAAGGCTTCTTCACCAACTTGTCCAAAGGAAACAACTGATAAGATCGGTGGCAAGGTCCAACACTTGGGTCAATCACTTCGTTGAAGCAACGATTGCAAGTTGGGAAGATTAAGAGAGAGGGAACTACCTGAACCCATCTTTCTTTCTGGTTGGTTTCTTTTGTACCATCACCTTTGGTGAACGTAATTAACTTTATGTCTTCTTTTTTTTCTCTATTTGCTCTTAACCTTTTATTTTTTATTTCTTTTTCACAAAAAGGACAAAATGCAAAGAAAAAATAAAATTT